ACATCCTCTTTCTTTTAAGAACCGATTTTTAAAGTTCAACTTTAAGAACCGGTTCTTAACTTTTACTCAATTTTTATTAATTTTATATTTAAATACACCCCAACTAAAATATATTCTCTCTCCAAAAGTGTCTTCTTATGTTTTCCAAAGACACTCTCTCTCCAAAAATATCCACTATCTCTTCTCTTTACTCAAATTTTATTAATTTTATATTTCAATACACCCCATTATTTCAACCAAAAACACTTTCTTTCTTCTTTTTACTCAAATTTTAATAATTTTATATTTAAAGACACCTACAAAATTTTACCATTAATGATGCTCTAAGTATAGGCACGAGGTGATATGCGAGTTATTTTTTTTTTTTTGTCGGCAATTGCATTTCATTTAAGGCCCAAAGGCAAATTACAAGTGAAACAAAGAGATCCAATTTTCTTCTACATTAAGCCCAATTCAATCTAGTAACAAGGACACGATCAAAGAGGATGACCTGAAGAAATCTCAGCCACCCGGACTCCACCACTGTAGAGCATTCTCCGACCGGTGAACCCATCAAAATCAACTATGTTTCTTCAAGATTCCGTTCTTTCTCTTCGTTCATCATTTGTAAATCCTTCCACATCAAACGGTAGCTTGAATCCATCAAGATTTTCACTCTATCACCGTGAAAGGACTTCAGAGATCCTTCCAAACCAAACTTTGAAGAGCTCCATCAATACTTAACTTATAGGCCCTCTAGGGGGATGATGAAGATATTACTCCCTCGCAAAGATTAAATTCAGTGAAGAAGCAAAAACATCGATGAACAAACTAACCGGATCCAAACCTGAAAACACATGTGGAAAGATAGAGAAACTCGGACAACGCCGAAAGTAAATCGGAACAAGCCAGAGACTATAGAACCGGAACAAGCTGGAGACTATAATGAAGATGTACCTGTTGTAGCAGTGACCTGAACCAGTCGTGAAGTACTGCAGGAGGCTCAGACGGACTGGGCTTAAAGCTTCGTGGGCTTATGGAGTGAGTTGGGCCGAGCAAGGATGACATGACTTAATACTCTGGAAGAGTTGGAGGCGTTCCTTGGAGAAGATCAAGGAGCTTGGAGATTTTCTAATATCTTGCTAAAGATAAGGAAAGAAGATATTGAGTGAAGATTTGGAACAATTTGAACTTGGAGGCCAAGACTAGGTCAGACCGTTTTGCCTATTATGTATAAGTAGGTTAGAGTTAACTTTGGGAAAATGTTAACACAATTAGTGCTTATTTCTTAGCAAAGAGGATTCAAGGTTGTCTTGCAAAAAAAAGATCTTGAATCAATGGGCTAAGGGGTAGAGAGTGGTTAAGATCGTGTGTGACTTGTGAACGTGTGAGGCTAGGATTGAAGTAAGAGTGAAACTTGTAAGTGAACGAGTCATTCAATCTAGTAAACATTTTTGAGAAAAAACCGTAGTGTTGTGTTAAGTTCCTGTACTAGTATCGTTATAATCTCTGAAGTAGTAGGTGATACATTTTCATATAATACAATCAAAAGCCGTAGACATAATTCCGATTCGATTAAATCGGAATTTGAAAACCAAAAGATATACCCGAATCCTAAGACTCTACAAATTACTTCAAGCCCATAAGATCAAAGCCTCTGTTGTTTTTGATTCTTCACTAGCCATGTTTACCAGATCTGGAATCAAACCACACACTGAAACTTCAAAAAATAGATCTGAAACAATAGTAGAGACCATGAGATTAATTATAAAAACTACCTACAAAGGCACGGCGCCGACGAAAGAGAGAATCGCCGGACATCAGCCATCAAAATGTAGATCTGATCGAAAAAATGAAGCAGATGATAGGAAATCTCTAGAGAGAAGGGAGATATGCGAGTTATTTAAATCTTAAATGTCACCTTCTTAACAATGTATGTTCTCTATTAGAGGATACAGTAAAGGTAATAATGCTCCGCAAGTACTTCCTCAAAAAGTGAGGTTTATACGTCTTATCACATGTTTCTACCGTATTTGGTCAATTTGGACAAAAGTATTAATTTGGGATTCCCTGTCACAAAATATAACTCGGATGAATAATTTTGAACAAAAATATTATATTTCTTTTTTAAAAAAAAACTTCTACGATATCCTATGGGGAAACGGTCAATTTCCGTAGTGCCTTTTTAGAACTGAATTTTTACATATGGCTAATTCCAACCCGAACTTAAAAATAATTCAAATTTCATACCTGAATTAACATCATATGTGTCGTAATGTACCTTGACCATTTTTCCGTTAGTCAACATTAACAGAATAATGACTAAGACGACATGTGGGTTAGCTGGCTCGGTTTCGTTGGCTCAAAACAACGTCATTTCATTGTTTTAGTAAAACGAAGTGGTTTTTATTTAGAGGAAACTCAAAATCGAATCATTTATTCGATAAATCCCCAAATGAAAACGACGTCATTTTTTTTATATAATTAATGTTGACTAAAAGAAACTTGGTCAAGGTACAATTTGACACAAAACATGTTAGTTCATGTACAAGATTTGAATTTATTTGGAGTTCAGGTTTAAATTAGCCATAGGCAAAAGTTCAGGTTTAAAACGGCACGAAGCAAATTATTTGGGTCCAAATTGACCGTTTTTCCGACCGTATTGGGGGTGCACTTGTTACATTGAATTTGAAGTGGACAATTCTGCGAGAAACGAAAAACTTTGGAGCAAATTAAAACAAAACCCAAGATCCTTTTATAATAAATCACAAGTCAATTTACAATCAACTGCAACTTTCTCCTTATGCCACGTGACATAAGTCTCATTTTATTCTTTTTTAACATCCGTGAAATCCTTTTATAATAAATCACAAGTCAATTCACAATCAACTGCAACTCTCTCCTTATGCCACGTGGCATAAGTATTATTTTCTTCTCTTTTAACATCCGTGAAAAGCAAAAAACTAAAAGTTATTTCACAAGAAAAAAAAAAATTCATTAATTTTTAAAATTTTGACAAACGTAACTGCCTTTACCCCATTATCTCTTCCTCGCTTTACTCATCATAACAATAATATATTTACTACAAAAAAAACAATATATTACTACAAAAACTGTCGACAAGTTTTAATTCTAAGCAAATATAATTAAAATATGGAGTATTTTTTTACTATATAAAAGATTTCATATTCTATTCATCTAAAATGATATTGAGTCAATCTTTATGTTGAAGCTATATTACATATCAAT